ATGCTTGATTGCTGATACGTAATTTCACATTCTAGCACAGTTTATTGCGCTTATACCTTGATTGTTGCCAATTACGATGCTTAACAGCTAGCTTAACGGAACTTTGACGCTGGTATCAGTTTTATTTCTCACCTATCACGGGAGTATCGTGTATAGAAAGTATTGAGTTATATTTCTCGTGCTACCTAACACCAACAACAAGTCACTCAGGATGCCAAACTACTCTTTGCTAAGCCCCGCCCCCAAGCAACATCAGGGCCAAAAGTCTGAAAGCGAAAAAAAAGGTCTGAAAGTGAAAAACGATCTGTAGGTGAAAATCAATGTGAAACCTGAAAAAACAAGATTTGAAACTGAAAAAAGAATTGTTTTGAATCTGAAAACGATAACAATGTAACTGAAAAAAATAAGGATTCAAAAATCAAAATATGTATAAAAGTGAAATCTGAAAAGAAATATTTTATTCAATAAAATTGCCTAACTGAATCAAAATAATATTCAACCTGAAAAACGATTTCAAATACTTATTTTTATTTTGAATAAATCATAGTATTTTTCAAAGTTCAGGATAAAAACTTGAACCTTCAAATAAATTGCATTTTTTTGAATGATCAAAACTTATGACCCTGAAATAGCTCCATAAGAGAGCTGCAGCGAGAGCAAAAGTCTGATAATTGAGAAAGAATGATTACACAACATTTGTTTGCAACTTATAGTTTTATTTTTGAAATGTATTTTATTTTGCTTGACTCAGTTTTTTTTTCTTTTAGACTCATAGTTTTGCTTTATTCTGAGAAAGTGTTGCTTTATCTTTATGATACAAAACCAATCTCATACTGCAGCCGGTCTGTCCGGTCTCACCCTCCTTTACTTCGGACAACTCTCTCACCCGGCTCTGCAGAAACCCATGCTGGGCGGGGGGGTGTGCACGTGGGGCTGGGCTTCTGTGCCCCGCCCTCCCCCTGGATCACAGCATCAGTGAGGATGCGGGGATTTCTTCGCTGGCGGACGGCTGAGCTGCCGGTTATGCATGTGTCCACGCCTGCTGTCATCCCGGTAAACCAGTTACACAAGTCGCTAAGTCTGCTGCTGCGGGAGCCAGTGGAGGAGTCACCCCGACCAATGCACCGAGACTAAAACACCTCTCAGCTGCTGGTAAGAAATGCATTTACTTCTCAGGGCAGATTCTAGCATCGGTCTGAAGAGAGATAGGGAGGCAGTGGAGTTTAGATTCAGATGATGGACTGTCAGGGTCATGTTTTTGTGTTTGGATGTTCCCATTAGTGGTGGAAAGTAACTAAGTAGATTTACTCAAGTACTGCACTCAAGTGCAATTTTGACAGTTTCAATGTTGTGCTACTTTGTACTTCTCCACTACAATTCAGAGGTAAATATTGTACTTTTACTCCACTACATGTATTTAATACCTAGTTACTTTGATTTGCATTAATGATGTGAAATATAAATAAGACTTAAGTCACACCTGGAGTAAATTCACAAGCTACCCTGCAGTATACAAAGTCATTAAAGCTAGCTGCACCAGCTTTGATAAACACATTAATGCATCAATAATTCAAAACATATATTATGTATTCATCTGGAATAAACCAATCTGCATAATGAGTACTTTTACTGTTGGTGCTTTAAGCATATTTTGCTGCTTATACTTTTGAGAAACATTTTGAATGCAGGACTTTTACTTGTTGTAACAGAGTATTCCTACACTCTGGTACTTCTTTATTTACTCAAGCACAATAACTGAGTACTTCTCCCACCTCTGCCAATACGAAAATAATATAAAACTATGTCAGCATACAGACACAAAAAAGAAAGAAAGATCAAACTCTTGATAGAGTGAAAGGTCCACCATTCAAATGTTAAACATGAATTCAAATAAAGATAAAAGCACTGTTAGATCTTTGATGCTAAGGTTTTCAGATCATGCGAGACAGTTAAGTGATTTTGGTAGGGTAAATCTAAAAGGGTCATACTTAATATTGTATACTTTACATTAAAAAATGTTAACTCTAAATCAGTTACCGCATACTTTCGTGTTGATCTGGATGAGCTGACAGGCAGGTTATTGCCTTCAGCTAGGAGGAGGATGGTGTGACAGCCATTTAATGGGATTTCCAGGGTCATGATCTGCTGATCGGGAAAGGTGAAAAGGGCCGTCGGCCATTACAGCACCAAGTTCAATACTGGATTGGGACTGTGCGTACATGCAGCTTACTGGCTTTTTCCATGGTTAGTCCTGCACCGGGTCTTTAATTTTTTCAAACATGAATCATAAAGTCCATTAGGGATACTTTTTAAATCAGTACATTTATTGTGCCTTTAATTCAAAATGCGTGCTTATCTATTCCAATGATTTGTTCATGTTAAAAAGGGTATATTTTTACTTTCAGTTGGCTAAGTGCTTACTCAATAACTTCTCTTCACAACCTTATGAGTACTGCTCTTTTTTAAGGCAGCTACTGACTCATGCACACTCCTTAATCTTTTTTCAACTAGGTGACAAAACAAGTATTCATTCTTCCTTTCACATGTACCCACACAAATTTGCTTTTTCATCCAATGTCTCTATTTGATAAAGATAAACCAGATGCAGTTAGTAATGATGTAATTACGCCCATGGTCAGGTCTATTCCTCGAACCCCATCTGTGTCAGGAGAAATAAGAACTTTTTCACATTTTAAAACATGCACAAGGCTCATGTGTCTTGCTGTATGGCACACGATAAATACAGGTATCCTAGTTTGTCCTCTATTATAGTGACCCAATTCTTGCCTTACAATATCAGTTCATCATTTTTGCTGAATGATAGCGTAGGCTGTATTGTCTGCTGTCCTTGAAGCATTTATTTTAATACTCCTGAGTGAGTGCGTCAAAGACAGGAGGGCACAGGATAAAGGTAGGGTAAGACAATAGAGAAAGTACCATTTGCACGGCCATGCATTCACAACAACAATGAAGTAAAAAAAGTGATGCCATAACTGGAACAGTAACAAAATAGGCGACAAAATGTGTTTTTTATAGTTTACCGTATGAAGTTGAGAGTCAAATTCTTGTCATAACCTTAACTGTGGGATCTGTTTATTCATGTATGCAGCAGACACATGCACATGGCTGTTTGTGTAAGTAAGCACAACCATAATGTGTACTGCCTACTGCATTATTGGACTTTAAGCTTAGTCTCTGTATATTTTGAACCCTGCCAGTACAGTGAAGTCTACTGTCTGGGGAAATTGTATTGTACAGAGCAACAGAAGCATATCAAATTATTTTAAACTGGGATCTTTTATTATTAGCATGCTGCCTGTAGCTTTTTGTCAGTGTGACTAAGCCTGTCCTGAGGGTGACAATAGTTCAAAAGTCTTGGGCTCATCATAATCAACTTCTCTTGTCCTTTGGAGCAGCAAGTTCAAGTTCTACGTATTGTTTTTCTGCTGCTCTCCACCCTTGAATGCCCTTTTTAAGGAAAATATTATTCCTAGAAAGGGTTGGTTTTGCTCTCCAATTGGTTTTTATGCTACTGGGAAGTGTTTAATCTTCTCAGGGATAAAGGTCAACGCTTTGACATAAAAGCAGGTCGAGTGATTCTGAGTATCTGTTTGACATATTCTTTTAGTTCATGGTCACGTTTACAAATGCAGTGTACACTATCTGTATCTTCTGATAAAATGACAGATACTCAAGGAACTGTTACAGCCACCCACTGCATTTTTATAATGCCAAACCTCCTGTGCGTCTATCACTGTAGAGCCATAGTTCCTGTACGTGAAAAGACTTGCCTTGAGAATTTCCTTGTCGAAATACTGAAGCTATTTTATTCATTTGTTTATGAATGCAAGTGGTTACAAAAGAGTGCTTACAGTACATTACGCACTGAGAAAAATGAGTTTTTTGATATCGCTGAACTATTAACTTATTTCATGCGACTTTGTGTAAACATGAATCAATACAAAACTGAAATATATGACCCTGCAGTAAATAATTGAGGAGTTATTGTGTACTTTTTTCTCTCTGAACAATCTCAATTCTTTTTTGGCGGCATATATAGCTGTAAGCGCGTACATGCGGGTGTGGTTTCGGATATCATTTCCAAGGAACCACAAATTGTGGTTTACCGAGGAATATTGCCATACGACACCCAGTTCTTAATATGTAAATACAAGGGCTTTCATCTGCACCATTTTATTACCTCATGCATAAATAGTAACTTAACAGACCCATATGTAAATAAAATCTTAAAATGTTTTACTTTAACCTCCATGAAGAAAGACTATGTTCTAAGAAACCTGACTGCTCCTGCGATGCTCAGCTGTGTGTTTCAGTGCATGAATTAATCACCTTTGCGAAGGTGGGTAGTAGTACAACTCTGCCCGGAGGGGATCATCTTGCTTCACTGCTCACATTTTCACCTCAACATGTCATTTGACACGTTCTCCCCTCCCCTTTTGAAACGGAAAAGCAGCTCCTGCACATAAATCGTAAACGATTGATATTCATGAGTCTGAATTGAGGTTTTAGCCTCCAGTTGACCTGACTGACTGGTTTGTTTATGTGTTGGTATGCCATTTAATGTAGGGAATTAATAGATGACGCAGATACACATCTGAGATTATTCCCGAGACATTTTTAGAAAAGTAGTTAAATAATATTTGCTCCTATATATAATTCTTTAATTGTGTGTCTGTAATTTTATCTTGTGATCTCAATGTTAAATAAATGAAGCAGTAAACAATAAGTTGTCTCTCTATGAAGACCATAAACATGGATGGATATACAGTTTATAAGCACAAGGTAAAAATGGACCATTATTTATCTGTGAGGCAAGAGCTTCTCACAGTTAACCATGGCTTTCCCAGCTTAGCAGCTTATTCAGTTTGGGCAACTGTTGACGTAAGAAGTCTATATGCAGCAGGTGGCTAATCCAGTGCCTTAACCTTAATGCCAATTATCAGATCAGAGGGAAGATATTGAAAAAAGTACCATAACAAAGAGTTGTTAAAAGTCCCTTGCTGAAAGTCTATGTGATAACAATGAAGGGAGCTGCCTGCAAAGCTACCACTAAAGAATAAAATCGGACCACTATTGATAATCTTAGAAAAATAATGTATAGTTCTTTTTTTTTGATGTCCCTTCAAGCTAAACCCTTTTTAAACCTTTTCATACGAAAGTGCGACTTCCCATGGCTTCAATAAAAAAACAATCCCATCATATTTCAGTTCGGAAATACTTTTAGGAAACAATTTCCTGCCATTTTAATTATAAATAATTTACTTCTCACAGTATCACACAGTATCCCAAAAAAATGTATTGGACAGAGAGCTTTATTTTATTTTCATTTTTAAATTAGATTATATATCATGAACACTTTTAGGCCACGATATTCATAAAGTATAAATCTGATCATAGTGCAGCCCTTATTTGCACCTTGAATTATTTTATTTTCAAGGCCAGTACAACACAAACAACATAAAAATGTTCATAACATCTATGTATGCATTCCTCCACCACAGCTCTCAATGAGGATTACTCATGCTTGCTTTTGCAGAAGGGAAAGTTCCTGTATATCCGAGCAGATGGTAGTAATATGCAATGTTGATTAAGGGAGTGATCGGTGTCATTGGCTATTCTGAGTGCTCGTCATGTGATGGCTCTGAGGTTCATATCGTGACAGACTGAGTGTGTGAAGGAAGAGGATTTTGGAGGCTTTGTGTGAGAATGTCACCATGCATGTTTAGCTTAGCTGGAAATCAAGAAGTCTCTCAATTTAAAATGTCAATTCATCAAGTGACAGCAACACTTTCTCATCATCAGTAATCAGAAGAAAGGGAGAGCAACTGAGTGATGAAGGGCTTTCTTACATCCAATGTATCAGCTCTCCTATCTGTTTACCCTCTGTATCACCTCCCTCCCTGCTTGCCATTGGTTCATTGAGAACTGTCTGCACATGTCTAGAGAATCACAGATTTCCTAGTCATGCAAACGGGAGTCGGGGAAAACCAGCCTCCCGCTGTGTTTGTCTCTGTCGTCGAGTCAAAAGCCTGAAGTTGGGTTATGCAATCAGTGACGCTGCATGTGCCAGCTGGTCGAGGTAGACAGAAATAGAGATGATGTTTTTTTTAATCCCTAGTAAAACCGCATACATTTGGAGGAGATTTTCTTTCACTTCATCACATTATTTACGGTTCTGTAACCAGATTTCGTGACTTTGGAAGTTATCTCGAATGGTAGGATTCAGTAATATTCCCAAAAAAACATCATTGCTGAAATGTTTTCTAAGCATAAATGACCTCAGAAGAAATGTATCCAGTATTTTATTGAATCAACATGTATTTTTTATCCTTATTTCTTTATTTGCAATGAGGATGTGTGATAAACATCCAACCACAGCGGGCAGTCCTTTATCTTGCAAGCATGTTGTGACTCAATACACAACATGCAGATCTGCTGTTGTGGAAGACGGCATCAAACATTGTGGGTCACGAGTTTGTCAAAAGCACAGATCAGAGAGTTTCCCTATACTCAACTGTTATGACCTGGCTCAAAAGGCCACAACAAAGAGGAGACACACCATGTCAACGGTTAGCAAAAAATGTTTATTTACACAAACAATTCAAATCAACCAAATTAATTAAGTGCAAAGTAAGTAAAGTTTGAGGTGTGGACGTCAGTGGTATCAGTAGTGTAAATGCAGGGTGAAGGTTGCCTGGACATGTATGTGTGAGGGTGTTGAGGTGCACAAAGTGAGGCAACTGAAATAACTGATAGCATACTCAACAGGATCGGGTGCCTGTATGAGAAAGCAGAGAGGAGCAGAGAGGCTTTAAATAGCTGCAGGGCACCAGACCCAGGTGCCCTGAGTTACTACAATCAAGGCAATCAATACAGTACAGACAGCACAGCCACACCCTCTCTAGATGAACGCACAGGGGCATCACATCAACTGTCTTTGTTTCTCTGCTTTCTCTGAACTCAACAGCCAATGGGTTGTGGTGCCATGATGAAGAGCGTCATGGAAGTCTTCTTGCTGTTGATGCTGTGTTTTACAGCACATGCAAAGGAAAAAAGTAAGTGTTTGGATGTAGTAGTATTAGTATCTTATAAGCAAGCAGCAAGAGCAGAACAATTAGAAGGGTATACGTAAAAGTGTTGTTTATCTGTGGATTTGTCTAGTATATAACACAATTCCCATCTGTCTCTTATAGTGTTTGACTTCATTTTCATATTTTTCCTGTCTGTCTTTAGGCTACAGCCCGCCAGAGAAGCCCACACAGACTAGATGTCGTTCTCCGGAAAAAGAGACGTTCACATGCTGGTGGGAGCCAGGCTCTGATGGGGGTCTGCCAACTACCTATGCCCTGTACTATCGCAAAGAAAAGTGAGCGGCTTCATCTTTGACGCTGTTATTTTGTTTCATTCGGATTGGTGGAGCAGGATGAGCCAGATGGATAGTTGACCATGAATAGAGGTCTAATGTAGGGGCAAACAAGGACACGCTGGTTTGATTTAACTATAAAAGGTATAGCAATTACTGGTGGTTTGAGCATTGATGTCACCACACAGGTGAAAGAGGATAAGGATTGCAGAAAATGATAGGGTAGCTGTCTGTGACAGCGGCTATTTCAGATTGTACAAGCCAGATAAGGAACTGACAAAGAAAGAAAAATAAAAGATGATTACTGCTCACCTAAAATCCTTCATTCACTCATTGAGCAAGCTACTTGTAGTCAAGGAGACTGAAGGCAGGCAAATGAAGGTGAGGATTTGGAAACAAAGAGAAAAATGTGGTTAGTGCTGCTGAAAATATTAGAGCCATAGTAATAAAATATTCTTTTGTAAAATATTCAGAATCAGAATGTCAGAATCAGAATACCTTTATTAGTCCCACAGAGGGGAAATTTAATTTGTTACAGCAGAAAAAAGAGCCACAGACAGCTTAATGTTACATATGTTGTTACATGCATTATAAAAAAAATTATGATATAATAAAAAATATAATGAAAAATAAAAAATTTCACAATTGACAAAATACACATCCTGTAACAATTCTGAGGATTTAGCAGCCGGGTATATATTGCATAGTTATTAATGACATATATATTGATATATATTGCACATATAGCACATATTGCATAGTTGGTTGGTATTTAACAGCAAGGGGTGTTATTGTGTGTGTGTGTGTGTGTGTGTGTGTGTGTGTGTGTGTGTGTGTGTGTGTGTGTGTGTGTGTGTGTGTGTGTGTGTGTGTGTGTGTGTGTGTG